AAAAAATGCCCGGAGCATTGACTTCAGTGTTTAAGGTCATTATCGCTACGCGTGCGAGACTAGTCCTCGGTTTTCCCTCCAAATAATATCACGTTTCTACTCTATCCTCAAGCATCAAGTGAGCAGGGTATTCAAGGTTGCATAAAACTTGCCAATCTATGAATCGCCTTCCAGATACAGGATCACCAGTGGCCTTCCTGGATTCAAACACTTTTTGTTCATTTGCCACTATCATCGCTTTACATTTTGTCCCGTTTGCGTATTTGAACACTGTATCTTCTACGTTTGCATTTCCAACCTATTTATAAATGGCTTTTGGTCAACCTCATGACAGGGCCGATGTTCGCTTCACGCGGTATCTTTGTGAGCTTTGACGAAACGAGTTCCCACTATCCAAGTGTTCTTGGCAGGTCACACTTGAAAACAAGGTATGAAGGGCCAGCTAAGTTTTCGTCAAATTATTCGGTGGAAGAAAAACGCACTGTCAGCCAGTGTAGTGCACTCTGTCATGTGGAAGATCACCGTCTACAGAGAACCGGGTACCGGTACCTCCGAATCTATTCGCCAGGGACTTCCCGTGGGTCAAACGATTTTGTAGTGACACACACGTAAACACCAAGATGTTAGCACTCGGTCACCGTTCTCGGTCATTTCCTCGAACGTAACAACTTGTGGGGTACCTTTTCCGACTAACCTCATACTCCGAAGTCTGTTATGTGCTTTGGTCCACTCTCGTCATACACGACGTGGGCTTTCGCTGAGTTTCTGCGAATCGACATATGGACACACTACGTCATTCAGAGGAAGGTGGCAGTCCGGTGACTACTGCTCTGCAGCACCTATCTCTATTTAGTGGGCACTTGCAGTTGAACTCTTGGATTCCATGTCGGCTGCAAGAACTAGATATGGACTTGAGAGAAATTCCGGCAACCTAGACCAGGAATAAGATCCAAAACGGAGCCTTGAGGGACTCTAATGGAGGCCGGCGCCGGAGAAGTGTAGGTCGAACCTAATTTTACTCGGAATGTTCTGTATGAATGAAACGCCTTAGTTTAGCGTAGCATTTTCGCTTGAATCCCATAAAACTGGAAGTTGTGAAGCAGCGAGACCTGGGATTCTCGAAATTTGAGAGATGTGGCATCAGATGTGTCGCCCGTCCTTAATTTGTGAAAGTTGTCCGTACAACCGGAGATATTAACTTGTGGGTAGTAGGATGATTTAGGCTGATCCATTTCATTCCATTTCCATTATCTTGCACGGTACGCTGATAAAGCGAATGGGCCTGTAGCTGCCGGGCGAGTCGGCCAACAATTTTTAGACTGGCGTGACGGTCGCTTCAGTTCAATCCGAGAAAATATTGCCTTCATCGAGGGACTGACGAAACACCAGGTTGAGGACGACGTTTTCTTCAGGGACTTTAGATGGATTGCCTCTGGTCCCCACGCGCACAACGGGTTTTCCTTGTGCAAGAGTTGACGGATGTCCCTTCCAGTGAAAACCAAGTTGTTGGAGGCCCTTTGTAGCCACGCTTTGACAATATTGGATGTGACGGTTGCACTGGAGCAGAATTCAGACATGCGTGCTGCATTCCGTAAACTTCAGATTCTACTTTTGGGTCACTCGTGGTTTTCACGTTCCAGTTCCCAAAAACAAGGCGGTTGCCTTGGCCGCATTTGGTTACAAAGCAATCTCACCAGCCTTCTCGTGTTTTAAGTGAATCCATAAACCATCTTGGCAGTCTATCGGAAGTGCCGGGCCAGAGACTTCTGGCGTAGACCAGGTTAATTTAGATGCAAATATGGACGCCTGTTTAAGGCTAGCTGACTGATTAGCATCGTCCAGTCTGTTGAAAAGAATGAGGCAATTTTCGTGTGCGCTTTCCACCACTGTCTCCTGCCTCCGAAGGTGGAAGCTGAGATAAATGCTGCCTGAAGATTAGAGATGTATTAGCAATAATAGCTGTAATAGCTTTGTGCCCTGTTTGAGTCAAAGGCACTGAAGTTGTTTCTGCGGCATACTGGTCTGCTTGCCGACTTGGTGTTTTTGGGAACTGCTTTTCATTTCCAGGGCTTTTCGCCCCATGAGCGTCCGGCTTGCCCGGACTTTTACCATTGAAACACGTAGTTGTTTTTCTGATGAGCAAAATTTTCGAATGCTGCTACTTGCAGCTCATTCGCCACCGAATTTCGGACGACTGGGTCTACTGATATTTAACAATTTTGGTCAGATGTGCGTCTGTTCTGCTTCCTGGTCATTTTTGCGTGGTTGGATCTATAAACTCTCTGTGAGTCCCTGTGTATTTATCTGCAGCAGCAAGAAGGGTCCATTTTTGTGGTGCTCCCATGATGTTCCTTTTCGGAGAGGAGTGAGCCTCAAAGCTTGACCACAATCTTCTGGATTAGCGAAGGTACTGCGGTTCGTTTGACCGCGGTGTCTTTCGTTTCGAGTTTGTGTTGACTTCCGAGTCGCCCGAAATCAATGTGGGCGGCTGGGTGTGCGAGGACTTTCCCGGTTCACCGTTGTCGGGTTTATGACTTTGTTTGATGTGGACATCGGCGACGAATGTGTTCACAACTGAAGAAGCCACTTTTGATGGAGTGGAGCCGAGGCCTATCAGTTTCACATACTTAGCGGCTGTATGGCCCTCGTGGCATTACCCGATGCTGAGTTCAACGCTTGTGGTTGATTTGTCGGTAGGCTCCGGCGCTTGTCTCCTCACATCTGACCCGATCCAAATCAGAGGTTGTGACTTGGGTGTGCAGTTTACCGCTGCGCCTTTATCATATGCTACAGAAAAAGGAGATGTTGGCTCTTATTAATTTGGACCCGGCGTCCACGCCAGGCTTGCCTCCTTCCGAGCATCGCTGCCATTGGGGGTGAGGGTATGCTGTGGCTAAGTAGAAACCACAATCCAGAGTCGTGGCCGGTTGCGTCAGCGTGGTTTGAACAGTACAATGGTCCATAGATTCCATCGGTTTGGCCATAAGTTTGGGGGCGACCGAACTGGAGCAAAGCGGAATCCTGTTTTGCGCCTCCGCTCTACGAGGTCTGTGGCCTGCACTTCGCGCCATTAGAGGGCGATCCTTAGATGTATGCGTGATCGTTGTGTAAGCCGTTGAGGTGCCAATAGCCCTCTCCAAGATCTTCTGTACTACACATGGGGAGAGAATAGGGCCGGAAGCACAAAAGATCGCTCGCTTCCCTTTCGACGTGATTACTCCGCGTGAAGCGATTCGTGTTCAAGCTTTGTGAGGGCACCGCCAAGGAGCGACCGTGCCAGTCTGGTGGGCGTGCTTTTCCCTGTGAACGACCCCCGGGTGTTCAGCCCGCTCTCCCCATGTACATGCTTACCAAAGCCACCTCGTCGGTCTTGGTTGCCGCACCGGAGAGCTGGATGATTCTCTTTACAACCAATGGACCGGGGTGGAAGCTGGCGCAATCAAGCGGGGCAGGAGTGTTTGATAATTGGCTTATCTTGGCGTCCTGTAGACCCGTACACCTAACGTGCCACCAGGCCTTGCAGGTGTGAATTTGCATACAACACCGTACATTTGATGGACATTCACTTCGCCAACATCGGTTGTGGTCGCCGATATCTGTGGAAAGTAGCCTGTATTGCACTGGCCAATGATTCAAACTGGGTGCTTCACAGTAATTAAGTGCAAGTTGGCGGAGGTCTTCATGCACAAGTTACGTTAGAGTGAAAATTTCAACAAAATATTACCCATTCACGCTGTAAGTTGATTAACCGGGGAGAGAATCTTTTCCATTTTATTTCGCGCAAGAACCGAAATCGATTTCGAACCCTCCGCGCGCGGGTTTTCATCCAGCCCGTATTATTTACCTGATCTGCTCGAGGCGAGGCTCTTTTCCCACGGTTGTTTCCCCGTTAATAAATATAATTTCAGAATCCGCTTCGCACCCTAAAGCCCTTGACATCCCTGCGGAGCGACTAAACACAAACAATTCTGTTCTAATTCTTACATCATCCATGGCTTCCAAATATCCCGAAACACTACGGATCTTTCAAAATAATGCCCACTTTTCGTGCGAAAGTCGACGTAATCATATAAATAAGCCCAAAAGCAACCTGTACTTATTTGTTTATGGCTACACACTTTACCCTGAAGCTCGGGCCCACTACCTCAGGTGACGAAGATCAACCGTTTCAGTCCAGCTGCCCACTGCAAAAAGGAGCAGATTATGTACCAAAGGTTCGGAGTTCGTAAGCCTACAAGTATCCGAGCTCTTATGTATGTATGTGTATTCACTCATTGAACCCATTGAGTCATTGACCTAGAGTAGACCCGCTCAGTTCGAATTACATCTGGTCTGCCATGCATGGTCGTGTCAGGGTCAGACGGACCGAGGAACAAGAACGGTTGCGTCGTGAGAAGAAAGAGAGGCTTGAATGTGAACTGCGGGCTGCTACAAATAAGATATTTGAGTGCCGTGCGGAGGGAGGTCATAGCGAGAAAATACTTTCCTTGATTGAGAATGTTATCGAAAAATGTGCAGACACGTCAACATTGTGGAACTATAGACGGGAAATATTTGAGCGTATGTTCATGCTTCCAGACTGCGATTCCCACAAAGTAAAAAGACTTCTCGATCCAGAGCTCGAGCTAACTACGCGCTGCCTCACTACCAATCCAAAGTCCTATTCCGTGTGGCATCACCGGAGATGGATAATGAACAACCATCCAGTTCCAAGTTGGAACTCGGAAATCGAGTTCTGCAACATTGCCCTGAAAGCGGATGAACGTAACTTCCATTGCTGGGATTATCGTCGGTTTATTGTATCAAAAGGTAAAATACCAACGGATTCGGAATTATTGTTCACGGACTCAGCACTGGATTTAAATATGAGCAATTATTCAGCTTGGCATTACCGCGGAGAGTTGTTTTGCTCGTCCAGTCCTCTCTCGGAATCTCTTCCCGTCAGCCCACCACCTTCAAATATAAACAATGAACTGAACCGTTCGTCTGATTCTGCAACGCTTCCTTCCGGCGAGTTGGAGCTGGTCCACAACGCTATCTATACAGATCCGAACGACCAGAGCCCCTGGTTTTATTACTGGTGGATTCTAGGCCGGGGAAGGCGAAAGGTCTATTTGCGGGAGTTGTACTTATCTCGTTCTTTGGAACGTGTTTTGCTCGTATTTACTGCATCAAAGCCGCTTAGTGCTTTGAAAAGACTTGAGGTTGCCATCAAGGTAACTTTCCCTTCTTCTGAATGTGTTAGCTTATCAGTATCGGATTTGGGGGGTTGGCAATCCGCCCTCGGTGAACCTGTTTCTGCAGTTTGGTGGTTGTCAATCGCACCGGATCTTATTGCCTCTTGTTCACCGAAGTCTGATGAACCCCTCGACTATAACCGCCTGCAGTTTGCCGTATCTGTGTGCATTTTGGATGTCGATAATTCCGGCGAACCGAAGGTTTGCCAAAATCCACACTGTCCCCCAGATCACCTGTTTTGTCTCACTTGCAAGCTGGAGGCTATGCGCAACGAATCACTTACGAGAGTTGACCTTAATCCACTGCGACTTCTAAATCCCATCATATCACCCACAAATGAACCAGATGAGCTAGAAACGGAGTTGGAAAATGTCCGGGATCTCGTTGGGATGGAACCCGAGAACAAATGGGCGCTTCTAACACTGATTGGCCTTCTAAGATTTGTTCACCCTCCAGATTCGGCTTGTGATGTATCCGCAGCCCTCGAAACTTTGATGAGAATTGACCCGAAGCGTTGTGCATACTATCAGGACATTAAATCGTCACACATTATTCAAGATGCCCTAGTTCAAACACTTGAAGATCGCTCACGCGAGGTGTCGCTTGTCGGTGTGCAGCTACTCAGTTTGAAGTATCTTGACTGGTTTACGCTAATGACGAAAATCGACCTCTCAGGCAACAGTATCACCAGATTACCCGACACGCTGGCTTATCTCGTTTGCCTTTGTGAACTTAATATGGACGACAACAAGCTGGAATCCCTCAATGGCATCAAACGCCTTCCTTCTCTCTTAACTTTATCCGCCCAAAGAAACTGTCTGAACGAGATCGCATCCATAGAGGAGTTACTTTTCTGTCCAAAGCTAGAAACGGTGTCTATTGACGGCAACAAAGTTACTGGCCTTCCAGACTTCACGCGCCTCCTTGCTGAGCATCCAGGATCTAAAGCAAGAGGTCAGACATTCATCGTTACGTATGAGAAATCTATGGCTTTTTAATCTGTGATCCCTGTACAGTCCAGCAGGCCGATTGTAACCCTAAATTCTTCGCCTGACATTCCGTTCTCAATGTTTGTTGTGTACCTGTTGAATTGGTCATAGGTTTCCACCCCACCCAATCAAACCGCGTTATTTATATCTTTCCAACTTGTACAAAAATCTTTTTAATGTCGTACTGTGTCTTGCTATGTTTGCTCATTTTGAAACTCACGAGGACTTGGGGAAATTCTCAGTTTTTTTTACTGGTCACAGGTACTTGCCTGTGGGAAGTAGAACGACTTAAGTGGGATTTCGCTATCAGTGTTGATTGCGAATGGTGGACCTCTCGTGACGATCATGACTCTAACGGACCGAATTCTAACCTTTATACTAGTGAGGAGTGGTTATCGCAACTTTACTCGGTTGAGTTTGACGCGTTATTCTGGTCAGCAGGGAATTGTCTGTTTGGCGGTATCATGATTCGATACACTTAGCCTGAAGCCATTGGTCGAAGGCGCACAGTACTACTTGGCCCGTCGTTTCCAAGCTTCGTTTGTGCGTTTGTTAACCATTGCACTTTCGTGAAATCCGTCCACTCGTTTGAGTGAATCGCTCGTTATAAATGGATTCTTCCCATGACCTTTATATTTTATGGCTTCCATCCAGTTTTTGTGCTAATCTTTAACACCCTTTTCGGCACCTAGCTGCCAAGTCGCCCAAAGGATGTACGAGGGCTGGGAGACTGCCTAGACGGGAAGTCGATGGACAAGGGTCGTGTTCGAGCCATGAACCTTCCGGTCAGTAACTTCGCGCTCTAATCACAGCCATGCCTTCCCTATTATGGAAGGCTTCACGATTTTACGTGTCATCCTTGCGCAGGGACCATGTATCTTTCCAATGTACCGCCGAAGTTAGTACATCAAGTAGTGGTAGCCAGCAGTTATTTTAGATTTGCTTTTTCCGAAGTCTTTCTTCAGGAGACCGTCTGTCGGAAGAGATCAACTAGTTCGTCTTACTTTGAACTCTGTATCCCTTGGTAATAAAAACATGATAAAGTACCTTATCAAGTCCCAGTCTAATGGTCTGGATCTACTCTGGTGCAATTCGGAGGCCTATCAGTCTACCCGATTGTCGTATACTCCCTTGATGGAATGCTAGTTAAATCTCATTCAGCCTTATAAATTGAATCGCGCACGCCAAGAAATTACTATCTTGGCGTGTCGTACGATGGGTTTTCCGCCTTTCTAGGAAGAGAAATAGTTTCTCACAAATTTAAGCTTGAAACATCAGGTGAGCAAATGTCTCTCCAAGCATAGACGAAATTTGCGAATTCGGACGTACCTTGTGACTTATTACGGGCAACGCTCTAATTGTTTGATGCAATTTTAGTTCAATGGCTATAGAGTATACTTCCAGTTTTTTGGATTGCAGTTTCCGTTGGCTCGTTGACAGTTAAAGTTTTCCGTGTCCAACTCTGCAGTTAAAAAATCATTTACCGGCGACGCTTTGGTACCGTTTGATGCATCCTCGTTCACTGGGACCAATGGATCAATTAATATTTGGCGACAGCTTGACAGTTTCCTCTACTTCGAGTTTAGTGTATTTGGACCTCTTCTTTCACTGTTAACATGCCCTCTGGGTTACACACGCAGGAGACAGCAGTTGTCAACGCGGCGGATTTACTGGCCAGGGGTTTGATTCTTCTCCGCAGAGTGCCCGCTGTTTCGACTCCATCCTACCCATTCTTTAATACAGGTTGGGTAGGATGTCACACTGCGTGGCACTCTAATTTATAGCCCGAACGTACAGGGATACCCAGAGAACTCAAAACCTTGTATATAATACTTTGCAGTTACAAAATGCACACCGGATTTAGATACATCCGGAATCCTATCTAGAGTAGGCGGTGCAGCCGTCCGTCAGTTTACATGGCAATTTCGCCGAAGACTACTGGTTTTTCTCTAAATACAATTTCGGTGCCTATGCTTCGATCCTTGGGGATTGTATTCCATGGTAATATCGCCGACGAGACGGAGCGGGAATGAGGACAGTGATAAAACTTACTGGACCTTAATATTTGTGAGAAAACTTCCAAACGGTTCGTTGTAAACTCCTGCACGACCAAAGTATGTGAATAGGGAGCAGTATGTTTACGAGCTTCAATGCCTGCCTGGCTAGGCATATGTGGATCTGTTTATGGTGTTAAGGACTCGTTTAAAGTCAGAGAAAGCCGAGGTTGTTAGCCAACGCTCCTCAAGCACAACATAATGTGGGGATGTAGCTATTGCACCTCATACCCTGCATGCAACCCCATGTGCTGGCCTCACGTCTCACTTGCCCGGGACTGGGCTTTCCAGTATTATTGAGGCCGGTATCTGCGTCATATCTATTTTTATAGTCGTCCAGTTGTAACACCCTTTCGCTGCTTAGCTGGCATGCCACCCAAAGAATGCACGAGGGCTGGGATACTGCCAGGTTGCCCACTTTTAGGAAAATGCGGATAAAATTGTCCCTTTATTGTTAAGTTGTTCATTCCATCGTCCCTTCCTGAAATTCAAGGTGACGACTCTTCTCAAGAACAAAGATGCTGTCTTTCCTGTCGGACACAAGCTCCGTTTGACTAGATGTAAAACTAGATGTTACGTGGTAATAATAGTTCAGCTGTAACGCCCATTCAGTGCCTAGCCGCCATGTCATCTGAAGAAAGAAGGAGGGTCGATGTACTATTACTTGACGCTGTATTATAATGCGTCCTCTTATGGCCTCTCTAGTAAGGGCTCCCGTAGAATCTAGCCAAGCGGGACGCTTTACATGCTGTATGGTCTCAACGACCGAGGTAACCAATTTTAAGTAACTTAATTCAGCTCAGCGCTCTAAACCGATGCCGAAAGGTGTGTGAATGGGTCGTCTGATATGCGAACAGTTTCACTCCTATCTACTGCTGTCATAGCCAGTGGGGTTAATCGTCTTCATTGTGCTCATCGTCGATAGTAAATCGTTTTGCGAGTGGAAGGTTCCATCTATCTGACAATTCCTAACTGTCAGGCCTGCGTGAATATAGATTTGCGTAGAGATACTTCCTACCTATAAAATGAGTCAGTGGTTTATTTTGTGGAGGTGAGGTAATACCGAGGTAGAGAGTTAACTAGGGGATAGCCTTTTGAGCTTCGGTTTGAAGTAGTTGGGTGAAGCTCGGGACGTGGTTGACCAGTGACCAAGCGATAAGAGAAGGTTTGGTCTATTTTCGTTCCTCCATTTGAAATTGATAGAGTTTATAAGCTTCTGTGTTCGTTGATTTAGCTACGTACTGCACTGGCCATTTACAAACATGGTTGAGATGTAGAAGCACCTCAACGTTATGAAGATACTGAGGATTGCTCCACCTGCTCACTAACAGATCATTTTATATTTCGACCAAAGGTGGCACTCCATGTATAGTGAAGTCGATGCCGGCCGTGATCTCCCGGAATATTATACTATTGACAAACCCTCTGACACCCATGTTATGAAGATATGTTCAGGAGAATCTGGTGAAGCGCGGCATTACTATGTCTAGCGGACTATCCATTTAATGCACCATTAAACTAGCAGATTCCATATGATCGTAGCTTCCTCACCCCGCCATACAGTTGCAAGTTATTTGTCGTTTTCAGGATGTCACCGCCTAGGAAAAGTTCGAAATCACTTGTCTTTTAACCACGTTGCTTTTTGTTCGGGTGCGCACATCCAGTGCTTGCACTTCCAGTGGCAATTGGGGTCCCTTTATATATTGCTGACTTAAATTGCCGAAATTCTGGATGACGAATTCTCACATCATCACCATTGTCAGCTGTAAGAACCGCATACTTGTCGTACAGTGGTTGCAGGTGCTACCTGCGATTTGATGAGTTGGGGTAGGTAGCTGCGCATTGGAGGCGGGAGCTGATAAATTAGTGTGTAAATACAGCATTGTAGGTAGACTGTTAAGTGGGGGGATTGGGAAGGGAGCTATGCATTGAAGGGCTTGGATGCACGAGCGCCATTGAGGACGCGACCGAACCATGTCTGACAATACCTCTAACCATTGATGTGGCCAGTTTCGGGGTCCCGATCCAGGAAGACGGCAAGGACCAGCGCAGCTGAGTTTTCTGGTGATGGCTTTTATACCTCGCCGCCAAGTCATTGTTTGACCGCCTCTGGCTCGTTTCCACCTTTCACGTGGTTGTGCGAGAGGAACCCTTCAGGGAATTCGGTCGACTGGCATACGCAGCACGTGGCCAAGCTAGCGCAACCTATGCAGTGTGATCAGTTCGTTTATGGAGAGTGAGTTATTTCTTCCGAATACCATTCGACGTACTTCAGCATTGCTTATCCGGCGTTCACTCCAGACTGGGGCAATGGTCCGGAGACATCGATGGTCAAACACGAAAGTTTTCTGACATCCTCAGCGCGCAACGACCAAGTTTCTGATATGTATAGTATGGAGCGTACCGCAACATTGTAAACGATCTTTGATGGATAAGCTGATGTCACACCTACGCCGCACGTGGCGCAGGCTCAAAAAAGCTGCTCTAGCCTTCCCAGTCCGGTTTGAAATATCATCCTTCTCGAGACCACCGGGACTGACACAACTACCCAGGTAAACCAGTTGGTCCACTAATCCAATCGGTTCATCCGCAAGTATGAGGCCACCCACTCTTACAGTAACAGTTTACAGTTTGCGGTTGTGAAACCCATGCCAAACCATGTGACCATGTAACCACTTGAGCCATCTCACCCCCAGACCAGAGAGCACCTTTTGATGCCACAACTAATAGGGTGATGTCACGGTGATTTTCACACAGCGTCCGCGTACCCAGAATAACTGTCTACTTGCCCCATTCTGCAACCACCTTCTTTTCGTTCCATATAGCACCAATAAGCTTTGTCAGATTGCTAATCAGGGATTCTCCGCCTTCTTTGAAGGGGTCTGGATACAGGCCGTCCGGCCTTGGTGCCTTGTCGCCTTTCAGTACGGATATTTCATATTTCATTTTTTC